TCTAGTCTTAATGTATACTTCAACTTTACATGTGTGTGTGTGTGTGCGCGCGCGCGCGCGCGTGTGTGTGTGTGTGTGTGTGTGTGTGTGTGTGTGTGTGTGTGTGTGTGACCACGATCGACGTTTTCCAGTAAAAATCCACCTATAAATATGTTTTAAGAAATTTAAATTCTTCAGCCGAAAAAAAATAGATGAATGAAAAGAATTAAATACAATATAAATATCCTATAAAAATTGCTCCAAGGTCGGAAAAAAAATGCCAGTTTCATCTAATTAAATTTTTCACCATGATAACACCACAACGCCATAATATAATCGTTTAGATTTCAAGGTAATAGAGCAGGGGTTCTCAACCTGTGGGTCGCGACCCCCCCCCCCCCCCCCCTGGGGGGTCTCGAGACCCTTGAGGATTTTGTGCTAAATGGCCCTCTGAAAACTAAAACATTGCTCTTTTTCTTCCCCTGGCAATTTTCAAAATACGGTTCCCTCTTCAATTGGCGGAAATAAGAAAAAAGGTATACACCTCTTCAATTGGCTGAAATAAGAAAAAGGTAAACACCTGAACTTCTTAACAAGGCAAGAGAAACAGCAAGGCTACACCAGTTTGCCCAGCCTATTTATGTGGGCCAATAATCGGTTTGGTTTGCAGTGTTTTCTTTTGTTTCAAAATGTATAATTTAGCCTCGCCATAGGCCAACGCACAATAGCTTGAAGCCTCGTTTATGACGAGCTACATGAGTGCTGGCTTCGGAGAACGCGTTCACAGGGGTAAGCACGGTAGTCATGTACTATTTCCATCCAGATCTGTCTCGCCCGGGTTTAATTTGTGTACTCCTACTGACTTCTATGCCCTGGCGTAGATCCAACCCACACCCAAGGGATGACACTGTAAAAAAAAAAATCACGGAAACTCCGTTTCACTATTATTGTCTCTTTCTAATTCCATGTAGGCATCTAGTTTGTCATCTCTAATAAGATCATAGGCCTAGCTGAGAAAAAAATCTATAGATTATAAAACTATGTTGTTGCGTGGCAGAACAATAAACACGCAGGAAAGACTATGTCAGGAAATTTGACAAAGGAGAGAGAGAGAGAGAGAGAGAGAGAGAGAGAGAGAGAGAGAGAGAGAGAGAGAGAGCAAAATAAAAGAAACCACACACAATTGGAGAAACACTTATAAAACTTTGCACGATAATGATGGCACGGCTGATGTTAGGTGAGGTTAGTGCACAGAAATTGCAGCAAGTTCCCCTTTCAAATGATACTGTCAAGAGGCGTATTGCAAGCATGTCTTCAAACATTTATTAAGTAACAGGTTGTAGAGGAGACCAAAGCTTCCCCCAAGTTCTCGTTCCAGCTTGACGAATCAGTTGATGTGACATCGTGCTCACAGTTACTGGTCTTTGTGATATACGTGTTGGGAAAATATGTGAAAGAAGAATGGGTTTGTTTGTTTTTTGCACCCCACTGGAAACCACCACAACAGCTGATGATGCCATGAACAAGTTAGCCTCCTTTTTTGGAAAACGAGGGTCTTGAGTGAAAGAATGTGCGTGGTATTTGTACAGATGGTGCCCCAGCCATGATGGGATCTAAGTCGGGCTTTCAGGTAAAAGTGAAAGACAAAGCACCATACGCAAAAGGCGTTCACTGCATGATACATAGATATATAATAATGCACTAGCTTGCAAGACTCTCAATCCCACTTTGAAGGAAACGTTGGAATCGACTGTTAAGATTGTCAACTTTGTGAAACACAGATCCCTAAAACCCGACTGTTCTAGGAACTCTGTTCACTGTTCTGACATGAGTGCAGATCATGAAACATTGCTTTTCTACACCCAAGTTCGATGGTTATCGAAAGGAAACGTTGTATGTCGCGTCTTCGAGCCGAGAGAGGAGATCAAGTTCTTCCTGGAAGTGCAAGGAAAAGATGAGTCCAGCAGGCACTTCTCAAATGATTTGTGGACCCAAAGACTTGCCGACATGTCTGATATGTTTGACTACCTCAACAAACTCAACTCAAAACTTCAAAGTCAGCAGACACACTTTCTACAGTTTAAAGACGTTCCGAGTGGCTTTGTTTCAAAAGTTCAGATTTGGCATGGGAAAATTACGAAGGGAAACATTGCTATGTTTACCAATCTTTCACAGCTGTTAAATCCAGAGGACACCTTGTCTGCTGATCTTCAAGTTGACATTGCTGCACATTTGAAATCACTTGAAGATGAGTTCAAGAACTATTTTCTTGACCTTGGCTGTGGTGAAGAAGCTCTTATGAGAAACCCTTTCACTCCTGGACTAGACATCACTGTCCTTGCAGATGACATTCAAGACGAGTTTTTGGAATTGAGACATGATTCGTCAGGACGCAGACACTTTTCTTGAGAAATCTCTTGCACAGTTTCAGTGTTCACTCCAGGAATTATACCCTCAGGTCAGCAAAACAGCACTTCGAGTCATTGTCCCATTTGCCTCGACTTACCTTTGCGGATTTCCTACCCTTATTCCAACTCAAGACAAAAGCAAGGAACAAGCTGGATGTTGCTGATGATATGTACCTAGCCCTCTCACTAGTTTATTTTTTCTTTAAATCTGTGTGTGTGCGCGTGTATGTGTGAGTGTGTGTGTGTGTGTGTGTGTGTGTGTGTGTGTGTGTGTGTGTGTGTGTGTGTGTGCGTGTGTGCGTGTGTGTTTATGTGTATCTCTGTGTGTGTGTTCTCTCCTTTTTCTCCATTTGTATTTGCTTGAAATAGGAGTGATTTAAAACTTCAAAGGTCCAGTTATTGTTCTGTATTTAATATCTAATATAGGCCTTATTAATTGTCTGCTGCTGGATTGTATGCATTTTTAAGGGGGGGGGGGGAGGGAATTAAAAGGGTTTGTTTATTACTTTATTTCGAGGTTGGGGTATGAGGGGTCGTTTCATTTGCCAAACAATCAAAAGGGGGTCGCGGATTTAAAAAGGTTGAGAACCACTGTAATAGAGGCTTGCTCAACTGTTGCCTCACTGAAGCACAGGAAGATCAGAATGAACTAGATCAGATCTTTTTTTTTGCGTTTTCCAGCAAAATATCGGGAGCAGCCGATTGCTGGTTATTCAACCAACAGAATTTTATTAACGTGACGGTTGTTCGTACTTCGTAAGGCCCCTTGCCTTCAGGTAGCCACATTCCAATTTCGAAGAAGGCCTTTATCTTTTTTTTTTTTGGTACTGACTAGAGTATTTCCAATTTTGGGAGTAATTATTTTGAATTTTGCTCAGGTGGCAGTCGAAGCCTACCATTATCGATTTTAGGACCACCGCCCAGGGATCTTTGACGTGCTCAACTTGCAAACGGGATCTCCAAGATGTTTAGCCCTTGTCCAAGAAAGCTAGACGTTCGATCTTACCTAACCTATGATCAGGAGTGTGGATGAAAGACAGCAATAATTAGGAGCCAGGAGTAGCAGTAGAAAAAAAGAGGTGTAAAGGATAGAGGAGCCAAGAGGTGATCGAAAAATGGAGGGGGGGGGGGTAAAGTGGAGACTGAGAGAGAGACAGATGCTTCTCTGTTGCCAACGTAGCCAGAAGGTTCTACAAACCTCTTATGGGGGGGGGGTAAAGTGGAGATGATAACAGTTGACAAAACTGGACAAAAAATAGGAAAACGGGTGAAATAAGAACATTTCAAAGAAGAAAATTTATTTCGTCGCGCTCAGAGTAGGATACAAAGGAGCGAAGAAGGATAGATAAGGCAGATAGAAGTTTGACAGGAGAGAAGGAGAACCACCACACAACAGCGCATGCCAACGACCCACACTTTTGTTACAAAAGTTTTTTTTAAATAGTGTTCCTGGAAAATGCCGAATGTGAGAAATGTTGGGCAAATTAATTTATGATACGTATGGTACTTTGTAAAACATATCGAAGTCTTCATTCATCTTGGCTTCTAGAAAAGATCATTAGAAAATCTAAAGTGCATAGTGCCCAAGAAGATCCCATTTTTAGAAAGGCACAAAACTCAAAAAGGCGACAAGTTCCTATTTCCTCAAACCGGCTCAAATACAACCTAACAACAACGATGATGATGATGATGATGATGATGATGATGATGATGATGATGATGATGATGATGATGATGATGATGATGATGATCGTACCTATTTTCAGCATTTACGGAGTGCGACATAAAGTACACAACCAAGATGGCCCACGCTGTTAATAGGACGTTCATTGCTGCTGCAGATTTCTCAGAGATTCTTTGAATATTCATTTGAAAAAGCATGGAATTACAAGATGAAGCAATGGTTTTAAAAATAAAAATATAATTCAAAAATGTGACAAGAAACAATACCTTTTCAATAATCATGTAATTATAACGAGAAACAATACATACTTTTTACAGAGACATGGTAATATTATGGAAACAAAACCAATACAATTGATCCATAAAGACATGAAATATGATAGGTACACACCGCACACGTCAAGGGTGGCATGTGTGGTTGTAAAATAGGTTTAGGGAACGCCCTATTAGCCCAAGTATACACATGAATGGTCACACCATTTCCCCTAAATAGAGCCCTTTAAATAATAATGTTTACCTTTTTGATTTTTTTTCCTTGACAGAGTCTACGGAAACAACTCATAAACAATCAAACAGTTAAAAATCAATGATGAACATGGCGTCCAAAGAATCGACCCAGAAACACGCCACGGAGCCATTCCAGTGGCGGTGGGTGGATCGAAATGTGGGCGGGGCTAAGAAATGAGGGTAGGTAGAGTTCAAAAGTAAGATTTCCTTGGTTCAGATGACATTCTTCATATGTGTGACTATATGTGAGTATGTTTTAAAGACACACATGCAAACGCACTCATATGACCTAATGGCGTTTCGAGCGCCATAAAACACTCATCCAAAAAAGAACGTTAAAAAAAACAAGCAAACGCACACATACAATAGTAACTGCATTAGGACGTGTGGTCGCAGAGAACAAGACATTCCCAACGAGGATCCAATGAGCGTGTTTTGGTAACTAGGTCTGTGAGAAATGTGTGTCATGAACTTTTCCCCCTTGTCTGGGCTGCCAGAGAACAAGCCCTCTCTCACAACTGTGTCCGCCGGCTCTTGTTTGTTTCTTTTACTTTTTTTCAAGAAGAAAGGACCGTGAGAATGGGCTCATCCTTTACTGGGCCCCAAAGACATTTGGTCGGCTGTTAGTTTACTATCGTTGTAAGCAATGACTACAGTGATCGGATAAAAGAGCAAGTGCGTGTGTTCACCGCATGCAACTAAAGGCGGAGGTGGAAGATTCTGAAATAGTTTTAACGGTTTCAACTGATTATTTCGATCATTAGAAGAAACATTCATTTATGTAGGGAAAGAGTTGGGGCTAGGAATTTGTGGGGTTAAAGCCCTTAAGCCCTTCACTTCGCCCCACCATTGGGACATTCAAAATTTCAGTGGCATACTGAAGCTTAGAGTGAGAGATATATGGTCATCACCTTGAGATTTAAATTGCCTTCGCCTCCATGAGTTTATTTCGTAATATCAGTTTTGTATAAGTATGTACGTCTCTACTCAAAGAGGGACTGTTTGAAATGGAACAATTATGGTTGATTTTTTAAAAGTTGCAAAGTCTTTTGTTTCACTCAATTTTGCTTGAAATTTAAAATTAGAAACGTAATATTTTTCGAACACTTTGATTGATTTTCTTCATATTTTTACAGACTTAGACCTAATGTCCTCGTGGAATTTTTGTTTGTTCAAAGTTTTTTTTTAATTGGTCAAAAGACGACTGAGTTGGATGTATTGCCCTCTAAATGGGTCCTCTTCTTTGGGCACCCGGTACAATACACTTTTACAAAACATACCTGGGTTTTTTTTTATCTTTCCAGAGGTAGAAAAGGCATCCGCTTACAATGCTCAAAAACTTAAGTTTAAGCCACTGATTGATAGAGAATTAAAAGTGAGAGTTATCAATAGAATGTCTTTCTTTTGTTCAGCTATAAGACTAATGTATACACATTTTTGTAGGTGATTATCTCCGTTATAAGAAAGCAAAGAAAAAATACCACAAGAAAATAGTGCAGTTGGCGAAATTACAAAGATCAAGCTTACAGGGCGTTTGGTTGTTTGATTGAGGAGGAATGAACAAACAATAAACACAATATGAACAAACACAAACAAATACACATACGTGTAAATACGCTAGCAAAAAATGCACTAACAAAGAAATCACAAACAAGCAAGTAATATACTAACAAGCAAATACAAAAACAAACACAGACAAATACACTAACATGTAAACACACTAACTAACAAACACAAACACAGACAAATACACTGACAAACACAAACAAATACACTAACAAGCAAATACACTAACTTAAAAACACAAACAGAATAAACACAAACTAGTAAACACACTCACAAGTAAATACATTAACAAAAAATTGCACTAACTAACAAATACAAACAAATAAGCTAACAAGTAGAACAAGTAAATACACTAACAAACACAAACTAGATAAAAACAATTAACAAGTAAATACACCAACTTAGAAATCCAAATAAATACACAAACTAGTCAATACACTAACAAGTAAATACACTAAATGATAAACACAAACAAATGCATACACAAACAAGCAAATGCACAAAGAAGCAAATTGATAGGCAAGCTAATGCATGCACACGCATATGCTCAAACAAACAAATACACAAACAAGTAGATGGTCAAAGAAAGAAATTGACAGGCAAGCTTATACCTGCACCGGCAAATACACAAGTAAACAAATACGAAACCAGGAAAATACACAAACAAGCAAATGAAAAAACAATTAACACACTAAGAAGAAAGTATACAAACATACTAATTAATAAACAAGCAATTAGTACAAAAACAAGTAAGTTAACAAACAAACTATGAAATGTTGAAATGGTATAGGAAAACGCCCTTGTCAACATTATTATGTTATTTAAAAGGCAGGACCTCCGAGTTTCATGTCCATCTCCGAAAGAACTGAGCCAAACTGGAAATTAGTGTAAAGTGCCTTTCCTAAGGACACTACGTCGGACCGAGCTGAGGCTCGAACCTCCGAACCCGCAATATACATGTATAACGATTACGAGTCCGGTAGCCTAATCACCAAGCTATCAACGCCAACAACAAACAAACAAATGAGCAACATTCAAATACAGGTAAATGCACGAACAAGCAAATCTGCAAACCAGCAAATACTCAAAAAAGCAGTTTCCATTGGCATGAAAATATATACATACAAGTAGGCCTAAGATATACTTAAATTAATACACAAACAAGCGCATACACAACCGAACAATCATTAATAAAGACAGAAAGAATCAAACAGACAAACAAGCGGGCGATTAAGCGAACGAGCAAACAGATAAACAAAAGAAGAACAATGATATTACTTTCAATATACTAGTTCGTGACAAGGGCGAGTCCAGCTCCTTCTTGAAGAGGCTTTGGTATTACAGTCAACCAGCTTTTGCCTCCGCTGCCTTTAAATCATTTCGAATGCCTTATCAGTAAAGTTGCAAACATGTTACAGAAAAATTATCATAGTAGTAAGCCGTCTTGTAGTAGAGTCCGGATGGGTTGTTGGCGAATGCTCTCGTGTGGTTTTCTCCCTAATCTTTGCCACTTGTATAATTAATCGGGGCAAAATGTGACTCCCCTTGAGAGAAAGCTGTATGTCAGTCTCTCAGATTTGAAGCGGACTGTACAGTTTATGCGCGACACCGGACTGAGTGTCTAGCTGCTGTCATCGAGAACAAGGAAAATGAAGAAGAAGAATGAATTTTTGTTTAAAACCCTTTACTGTTGCGTTGCAATTAATTAAGTGCCGGAAAACCTTTACTCAAATTAAGTCCACGTCAATGTAGAGTCCAAGTGCGGTGATGTCAGGCGTGCCAGCTTTGGGTTCGAGTTCGTCATACCGGTTAGATTCTTCTGGTTTCTCCGTTGTAGAATAGTGCCAGGTATCCTCGCAGGCAGTGCAATGCCTTAGCGGCCCCTCCCTCCTTTCCAGAACCCTGGAAAGGGTTGCCTTTGATCGTGCCTTTTTTCTTTTAATACCAAATCGGTACGCGGTACACTACCAGTAGCATGAGTGTAGTGATACTGCGACTGCAGCATCACTGTGTACAGTTCTGCTACAGTAGCAAGCTGCGCACATCCACAAGTGGAAGTAGAGCTTTTAAATAAGGTTCAAAATGTGACAAACTTTTCTCTGCCAAAGTTGGTCTCATCGGCCACAGCAGAAGACCCACGTCACCCTAACCTTCAATTCTTCAAATTCTTCTATTTCGCAAGAGAAATATTATCCTCTGCGGACGTATTGGTCATCGTCAGACATTGACGGACGAGCTATTATCTTTATTATTATATTATTATTATTGTTGTTGTCGTTGTCGCTGTTGTTGTTGTTGTTGTTGTTGTTGTTGTTGTTGTTGTTGTTGTTGTTGTTACATATATTATTATTGTTATTATTATTATTGTTATTATTATTATCATTATTATTATTATTATTATTATTATTATTATTATTATTATTATTATTATTATTACTATTATGACAATTAGCAGGAGACCAGACAAAGTGGATATCAACATCAATAGGTCCCAACTAAAACAAAGCAGAGAATTCAAATACTTGGGCAGCATTTTAACAGAAAATGGAAAATTAGATCGAGAAATAGAGACTAGATGCCAGAGAGCCAACGCAGTCTGCTATCAACTCGGCCCTCTCCTGAAACATCCCAATATCCCCATGAGCACCAAGGCGAAGCTCATCAACGCCATTTTCCTTCCAACACTCACATATCAGTGCCAGACATGGTCCCTAACAAAAGCCCTAGAGAGGAAACTGGTCACATGCGAGATGAAATTTTAATGCTTAAGAAGAGCGGTCAACAAAACAAGAAGAGACAAAATTAATTAAAAATGAAGTCATGAGGGACACCGTAGGAGCAACACCAGTCCTACCACACAATGAAAAACAAGTGGTTCGGACACCTCACGCGGATGCCCTCAAACCATCCACCTCTGAGAGCATACAACACTAAACATTCTGGATGGAGATCCAGAGGAAGACTAAGGCGACGATGGAGTGAATATGTGGCAGACACCCTCAGAACTCACGGGATGTCCCTCCTAGGTCACTCGCATTGCTGCAGACAGACGCCTGCGTCTCCCCGCGACACCCCCCGGTACAAGCGGAAGAAAAAAGTAAATTAAAGTAAAGTATTACTATTATTATTATTATTATTATTATTATTATTATTATTATCATTATTATTATCATCATCATCATCATTATTATTATTATTATTATTATTATTATTATTATTATTATTATTATTGTTGTTATTATTAGCTCTGTGTAGCGACAACGATTGTGCACTCTTGTGTGGTGCTTGAGCTGGCCAACCGGCGTGAAAAGAAGGATAATCTCAGCTTTCACATGACCGATAATGCGCCATCATAATAACAAACAGTTGAAACTGCAAAAAAAACTGCAACTAAAAGAAAATGTTTTAACCATCTATGAACTTAAACAATGAATGAAAGTTGGTGCGGTATTGTGTATGCATGCACTTTACATAGTATGTAATTTAACAGCAACAGCAGTAGGGAAACTCATGAAAAAAAAAAAAAACGCAACAAAGTGCTAGAACTAGAAAGTCAACGCTTCAAACTCCAAAAAAGGGCTATGAACTATGGGCATTGCGAAGGCTGCACACCCTGACGCGCTGGTTCTTGCCCTCACCAGCATGGCCTCTCAACGCCCACGAGAGGGCACATGCAGCCCGGGGGCTCTCGTGGCCTAGAGGTTAACTTGTAGGCACTTCAGTGAAATTTTCAAACTTCTCCGAGGGCACTAAAATTTGGATTATTGAAAAGAGCTTGGCTTTCTGTTTTCAGAGCTTTTTAAATTTTTGTGCTATCTTTGTTAGTTCAGAAACAGCGACCATTTTT